CTTCCCAGTGTTTTACACGCATGGGTTCATTCTATATGTAATGTTCTCATTTCTAGTACTTCTTCATATAATAGTTTGTGAACATCTCTGCAGATGCAGAACGCATATAGTTTATAATCAGGTTTATAGCTACATTGGATGGCCATAAAGTAGGTTTGTAACTAACTGTTTTATCTAATGCCAGAGGCTTTATTTTTTATGACCAACACTTCATAAAACATCCTTGAAAATTAGTCTTGATAGTTATTTCCTTTATAGCCATATATAACATATTGTGAGACACAGTGACAACTCAGATGTCCGGTGGGGGAGGGGAGAAGAAAGGGAATGAAATAGAAGAAAGGCGGATTTGCACTTGCAGAGGGCAAGAGCAGGGTGTGCTAAACATATCACCTACGTTTGTCCTGTTTGTTCTCCTGGGCATCTGGCTGCTGGGGCAGTTCTTGGAGTGAGCTACTTAGATTCAAAATGTTGGGATCTTCAGATGACACCGCAGGAGGGAAAAAGGGAAGGAGAGAGAGATGGCAAAAGATTTCCCGTGATTCTAGAGCTGCCTCACCTGGTAGCCAGGGATCAAGATGGACCTGCCTCGCCCTGGGCGGGCTTTGCTTGCTGCCGGACTTCAGCTGCTAGCAGCAGTAGTGATTTCAGAGAGAGGGGAGCAGACCACGTCTCTAACTTGAAACTTTCTTTCCAAATCACACTTTAACACCAAGATCATCTGCAGATCCCACAGCCGTTGTTGCTGATGTTCTGCTTCTCAGCGGAATGAGTCCTGGGAAGTCCTGGAGGAGGCCCTGTGCCTGGGCCTGTTGGTATGCCGAGGATGCGAAGTAGTTTTCTGTCACAGGCCGCTAGCCCAGTGTTAAAACTGTGTAAGCAAAAGCAAGTTAGCTTTTCTTCCCTTTTATTAAGAAACTTTGTTTCTCCAATGCAGTAGCTTTCTAAAAATATTTTATTGGATAACCTTTCACATATATAGTAAGAGTATGAAAAAAACCATGTAATACCCATATACTTTCCACCTTCAAGAAATCTCAACATTTTGGCATCTTTGTGTTACATTTTTTTTTTTTTTTGCAAAGAATTTGTTAGTAACTGAGAATTTATTGGTATTCATAGTCACTAATATGCTTTTCAACTCGTATACAATTACTAAAATATGTACCAAAAATCTAAAATGACATGAGTAATCATTGTATCTTAAGCTATTCCAGTGATTTTCCAGGCAAATTTCTAGGTAACACTTCTTGCAGAGGCTTTCAAGTTCTAGTATCTTCAAATACTGCCATTATATGAATTCAGACAATTCAAAAGCTAATGTCATATACATGTTCAGTCTTGCACAACAAATTAACAAATTAAACAGACTGGACTAAGACACTACAAAGTGCACACAATTCTGACACAATGGCAAGAGTGGTTTTCTGTAGGAAATGGATCCACTAAACAAGGTGGGAGAAATTGAAAATATTCATTCCAGAGTAAATAGACAATTGTGATTCCCAGTTGCTTAATTGTTTTTTTTTAAAGATTTATTTGTATTATTTTTTTATTGGAAAGGTGGATATACAGAGAGGAGAAACAAAGAGGAAGATCTTCTGTCCGATGACTCACTCCCCAAGTGAGCACAACGGCAACAGCCAGTGCTATGCCAATCCGAAGCCAGGAGCCTCTTCCGGGTCTCTCATGCTGGTGCAGGGTCCCAAAGCTTTGGGCCGTCCTTGACTGCTTTCCCGGGCCACAGGCAGGGAACTGGAAGGGAAGCTGGGCTGCTGGGATAGAACCGGCGCCCATATGGGATCCCGGGCACACAAGGCGAGGACCCCAACCACTGTGCCACCATGCCGGGTCCCCTTAATTGTTTTTTAAGGGAAGTAAACCATTCAACACACAGTTGTACCCATCTGTGTGCCTCTACCGGCTTTCTGCTCTCTTCCTCCCCAAAATAAACATTGTCCACATTTGGTATCTGTTCTTTAGCCATGCTGTTTCACTTCTATTTCACATATATGCCGTAAAAAAAACATGGAAAATTTTTTTTGTAAACTTTAAAACATTGAGTAACTAGTATTATGCCATTGATATTAGTCTGTAATGTGATTTGTTCAGTATGTTTTTTTAAAAGATTTGCTTTATTATTTATTTGAAAGGTAGAGTGACAGGGAATGGAAATGTGTGCATGGAGAGAAAGCATGGGAACACTTCCACTCACTGATTCACTTCCCACATTGCTGCAAGTGTGGACCCTGGGCCAGGCTGAATTTGGAACTTCATCCAGATTTCCTACGTGGGTGCAAGGGCCAACCATCTGGATCATCCTCTGCTGCTTTTCCAGGTGCATTAGCAGGGAGCTGGATCAGAAGTGGAATTGCTGGAACTCGAACTGACACCCATCTGGAATGTTGACCTTGATGGGTGCTACTTTACCTGCTGTGCACACTGCTGGCCTTTCATTCAGTGTTTTGATTTTGAACTGTATTTGTTTGTACTTCAGTCTGTCCATTTCCATGACAGCGTAGCTTTCATTGTACAAATCTACCGGTGTATTACACATTTTTCTCTTGCTCAACATTTAGCATTCCAACTTCCTATTGTTGAAAAGATGCTGCAGTGTATGTTGAGTTTCCCTAAGGTGTGTTTTTGGTTAAATTTGCCACATGTACATACCATTAGTGTCACTGGGTAATACAGCATTGCTTCCCAAAGGGGACTGGACCAGTTTACAGTCTTTACCAGTTATATGGTAAGTCTTCCTGCTGTTTGGTACTCTTGCAAACTCTTGCTGTTGTCACTCTGTCATTTCCACCAGTTGGATGGGAGATGTGAAATATATGGCTAATATTGCATTCATGTTCTTCTCCATGATGAATTTTGATAACTAGCTTTCCATATGTGTTTTGTCGTTTCAGTTTTTGCTTGGGTTAAGTTTTTGAGTTTACAGAATTTCAAAACAATTTAATCTGCCAGAGACTATGAATAGTAGACTTGAACCCTCCAAAACTGTATGAATTCCGAATGATGCTTGTGTCAAAAGTGACAAAGACATGCCTAAAAGTAATGAATTTGCCTGTATTTTGCTTACTTAATGTTTTGGGGTTACAAACAATGTGTTCAACTATATCATTCAAGGAAATTTCCTAATGAAAAAGTGAATGCTTTTTAAAACGGTAAATAGTTTCTAAAATATGTAAAGAGGATGTCCTGGGACATGGATGGATAAATGTTGTTTATTTCCATGCCAGAAATGTAGGTTTTGTAAAAATCTGGAATTTGGTTGAAATTAAAATTTGGGAGAGGAAATCTAACATTTGTATTAGATATTGAAGCTTTTTGTTTAAAAATTCACCAGTTTTTCTGTTTGTAATCACATCCAGTGTGTTATTCTCCTCAATATTCTCTAGCCCTGATTTGTCTTGTTTAAAAAGGTGCTTGTCTGTGTGGCTTGGAGGTCCTTTGTGCTCTTAATTTGGCTTCTTAGTTTGGCTTATTGCCTCTTTGTAGGGCAAGGGCTATGCTTTTTACTTTTGAAAATCTGCTTGTAGTTTAAAGTTGATTTGGAAATAAGAGCTACTCATGTTTCTTGGTGTTTTTGGTTTGGCTTTCCCAAATAGCAGTGAGGTGGGTGGACCATTGTGGTTGGTAACCTTTCTTTACGGATGAGCAGCTCTTGGTCCTTGAGCTGGTAGGTGTTGAAATCAGAACTCACTTCCCATCCATGTTTGCCACTGTTCTTCAAGACTGTATTAATTTTACACCACAGTAGCATTTAGCCCCTATCTTCTTGTTGAGACCAGGCATTTTTGCTGGCTCTGCCCACCCAGTCTGATTTTCTTCTATTCATTGGGGAGTAAATACGCATGGACCATTTTTGGACAAGCTAGAGCTAGCAGAATTAGAGTGTAAATAGCTTCCACCTTGGTAAACTAAGCAACAATGCATCAGGGCATTGCATCTTGACAGTGTATTACAGTAGCCATGGTTCCTGGAGAGCATGCAAAAACCAGTTTCTGACCCCAATTCAAACTCATGAAATTAGGATGAGGGCTCACAGGGAGGCATCATAATCTTACTGGTGCTAGGTAGGAGGGATTATGTTCTTGTTTTCTATGATAAGCGCTGCTGATGGTATTGGTTCTTTTTGAGGTAAATGACAGTGTCAGTTCTGTGATTTGTGCGTTCCTCTTAGCCAGTGTCTTAATCTAACCTAGCTGGCTTTAAAGAGGTTTCTGTTTTGCAGTTTCAACCAGCCGTGGCCTCATGGAGATTAATCAGCCCTGGCATCCTTTTGACTCACTTTCCCGGCCCTTGACCCTGAGGCTTCCTCTCAGTACTTCCTCTCCTCTGCCTTACTTTCTCAGTCTCCCCAATTCTTCCACCAGCCTTTGTCCTCATGTCTTTCCTTCTGTCTTGTCTTAAGGCCGAATTGGGCTTCTCTTAATGCTGCCTACAAAACACATTGCCCCATATTTCTTGTCTCCTTCGGTTGCCCTTTTATAACCCTGGAGCCTCAGAAGGAGGCTTGTATGGAATGTGTTGACAGTTCAGAGAGAGACCGGGTGGATTTGTTTTCATGGTGAGTTGTAGGAGCCTCATAGGAAGTGGTCGTCTCTACTGTCGGTGAATCCATTTGAAGCACAGTAATACTCCAAGGTGGTGATGTGGCCTCCATGATGTGTGAGCAGGTTCTGGCTGGTGCTTGAACCTGTCTGCCCACCCCAGAGCATGAGTGAGATATGAACAATTGCCATAGCTTGTCTCAAAGCTTTCTGGAGGTTGGCTGCTTCCTACCAAAATAACTAGTTATTGCCAGAGAAATCACAGCAATTCTTATAAAGCTGCTTTCTCCACAGCCCTGATCCAATCTTGTCAGAACATGACTAACGTAAAGACTGTTTGGGTTGTTTCAGGCAAATCAGAGCAGGAGACAGCATTTGACTAATATCAGCAGAATATACCTAGATTCCCTTAAGCCTCAAATGTGTGTTCTTTGATTCCAGGAGCTCGTGTCAATGCCAAGGACAACATGTGGCTGACCCCTCTGCACAGGGCTGTTGCTTCCAGAAGTGAGGTGAGTGATTACCTTATTTAATCTAATACCTACTCCCCTAGAAGAAGAATTCTTTGCACTGGTTTAGAAGTCCTTGTTGGTGATTAAGAGACTTTTACCTCCAAACTAAGAGGGTTGCCAACAATAAGCAGCTGTCTATTTGAGCACCTCCTGCACACCAGCCATGGTTCTGAAGAGGAGGCATCTGGGGTAGTCCAAGCATGGCATTTGACTTTAACAAGTTCTGCATGTGAGAGAGAGGAGGTGCAGCAGGAAGAAGTTGGCACAAGGTCATGATTGAGTTGGAGCTAACTGCAGGACTAGAGGAGGTCTTCCAAAAACAGGCATCAGTTGAACTGGTCTTAAAGAATGAGTAGGGGGCTGGCACATTGGCTCACTTGACTGATCCTCCCCCTGCAAGTGCTGTATCCTAGATGCGTGCTGGTTCATGTTCTTGGCTGCAGAAGAGGACAGCCCTGAGAGAATCTCAACTGAATTTGAACTGTGGTAATGCAACAAGGTGGAGGAATCCACCATGGGGGAGGGGCGGGGGGCGACTTTGTGGAGAGGTGTGGGGAATCCCAGTGCCTATAAAACTGTGCCACATAATGCAGTGTAATCAATAAAAAAAAAAAAGGAGAGGGCAGCCTAAAGTCTTGGGACCCTGTACTTGTGTGGGAGTCCTGGAAGAGGCTTCTGGTTCCTGGTTTTGGTTCATCTTACCTTTGGCCATTGCAGTCATTTGGGGAGTGAACCAGCAGATGGAAGATCTTTCTCTTTGTCTTTCCTTCTCTTTGTAAAATTTGCCTCTCTGTAAATCTGCCTTTCCAATAAAAATAAGTAAATCTCAAAAAAAAAAAAAAGAAAGAAGAATGAGTAGCAACTTAACAGACCAGGAAAAGGAGAGAGGGCAGAGGGAATGTGCCAGAGGATAAGAGGCATGGGAGTGAAGAAATTGTGATCTCACTTAGAGGTAATAGGAATACAAGGTGTGGTAGCAGGTGAGTCTACAGTTGAGGCTGGCCTGGAGGACAAGGGGCCTAGTATCCCTTGGTTTATGGAGAAAGACAATAACAGAGGAGTGACACACTCAGCTACTTTTTCAGTACCACCACTGTGGTGACAGCATGGAAGTGGGCTGGGTACAGGAGAGATTTTAGGCAGAGGTGCAAATCAAGGACCAAAAGAGACTTGAGAAGTTTGGGATATAGGCAAGAGGGGAGACTTCAGCCTGAGAGGTGAACCTCACAGGATTTGGTTCCTTGAGAGAGAGAGAGGCAGAAAAGAAGCTCGTGCTGAATGGTGATGCTGTTGACTGACAAAGCCCAGAGCAGGTGACTTGGCTACTCCTCTTTGAGTGGCAGGTTAAGCAAATATGCCACTTGAGGGCACATTCTCTGTGAGGGCAGGTTCTGTTTTTTTCCCACATCTCAAGCCTGATGCATTGGAGAAATACAATGAGCCTGATACAGAAGAAATCATTCATTATGAATACTGGAAACTGCGGTGAAGATGGCTGATGGATGGTCTGACATTATTAGGTCAGGCTGGGATCTCAGGGACAGGGACAACCAGCAAGTGGATCAGCTGGTTGAGGGATGGCAGGGAACCCAAGATGAGAGGAGATTCCTGCATCCCCTCTACTCCTGGAGGAGGCAGTGCTCCCTGGACACACCCAGGAACAGGAGGTGCTGCTCAGAACTACGCAGCACAGGCAAGTGTTTGTGGCTAACGTCCACGTCAGCTTTTCCTTGTGGCACCCATCCAGAAACGTCACAATGTTTTTGGCAGGTGACAGTTGAACACTAATACTCCTTGATATGCTGTGTGATTTGAGTAGTTCCTCCTCTCTTCCCTCTCTCCTCCATTCCACCTCCCTCCCTTCCCCCGGTTTGTTGCATTCTGTTAACTAATAGCTCATGTGAAATGAAAGAAGTAAAAGTCCTAAATTGTGGGGCTGGCATGATGGCATGCCAGGCTAATGCTTCACCTGTAGTGCTGGCATCTCATATGGATGCTGGTTTGTGTTCCACCTGCTTCACTGCTGATCACGCTCTGTGCTTGTGGCCTGGGAAAGCAGAGAAGGATGGCCCAAGGCCTTAGGCCCCTGTGCCCATGTGGGAGACCTGAAATAGTTCCTAACTCCTGGCTTTGAAATGGCCCAGCTCTGGCCATGGTAGCCATCTGGGGAGTGAAACAACAGTTGAAAGATCTGTCTCTCCCTCTCTCTGTAACTTTGACTTTCAAGTAAAAATAAATAACTCCTTTTAAGTAACTCCTTTAGCGGGAAGCTGGATAGGAAGTAGAGATAGGACTCAATCCCAGGTACTCTAAAATGGAAAGTAGGAGTCCCTTGCAGTGGCTTAACCTCTGGGCCACAGTATTCACCCCTTAAATCTTCTTCAGATCCTACGTTTTGTTTCTCTTTTACCTGGGATTGATGTAATGTGCTTGAGTTGGAAGTAGTGGTTTCATTAGACCAGTGTAGTTGTAATGTGTAGTTTACAGGGAAATATTTTCTGAACCAAATTATAGGCTCAGCTCTTTTGATACACCAGTCTCTCAAAAAATGTATGGATTTGACTCCTCTTTAACAAGTACAAGATTCAGGACTTTCAGACAAGATTTTAGAGTGTTATTGTCTGCTCTTTTATGTGTCCCTTGTTGAGTTTATACACGTTGCGCCTTTGCTTTCCTTTCTTGTAAAAGAGCAGCTGAAGGGGAAAGGAATTAATGTATACAAGCCAGAAAGTCTCACACATGCTGATGGAAGCTTAGCACATGTTTATTGAAGCCGACTGCTTGGAAGGCCTTGTGGGACCTGAGAGGGTGTGTTGGGTGGCCTCTGCAGACCTGTGTTTGAGGCAGACAACCAGACACATGGTCTGCTGTGGCCTAAGTGTCAATGCAGCTGGCCCCCTGCATGCGCCCTTTCTGCTGTAATGTGTAGAGAGTAACAACAAAGAAGACTCACTGGGAAGGCTTAAGTTCCCTGTTCTAGAGACTATCTTTTGATTGGGAAAGTTCAAGGTGATTATTTCCTATCTTTGGAGAGTAGGGCCGAGGATTAAGTGACACTTGGTCCAAATATGTGTTACTATGATGAGCATGTAGGAAGGGCTTCCTGTGTGCTGGGACACATGCCAAGTTCTTCTCTGTGCATTTCATCACCTCTGAGCTGCCCTTTGAGCTCAAGACTATTAGGGATGCTAATTTAGGAAACAGTTTCAGAGAAGTTAAGTAAGGAGCCAAAGATGTCACAGCGCGTAGGCAGAGGAGAGTGGGATCAGAGAACCCACAGGCTTAACTGCTTGTGTAGTTTCTGCGAATCTGTGCCAGCTAATAAAATGGGTCTGTTTCTGGCACCTGTGCAGACAAAGACCCTAAATGGTATAATGATCTTTGCCAGAGCTATATAGGAAAAGCACTTAATTTATAACTTAACTTCACAAAACCATGGCGTAGTGGGCTAAAGCCTCTGCTGCAGTGCCGGTTTGTGTCCTGGCTATTGCATTTCCAGTCTAGCTCCCTGTTTATGGTCTGGGAAAGCAGTGGATGTGGCTCAAGTGCACCTGTGTGGAAGACCCAGAAAAAGCTCCTGGCTCCCAGCCTCAGATCATCTCAGCCCCCGTCATTACGGCTAGTTGGGGAATGAGCCAGCAGTTAAAATATATTTCTCTCTCTGTCTCTCCTTCTCTTTGTAAACTCTGCCTTTCAAGAAAAAATAAAAATAGATATTCTAAAGAATTTATAAAACTTGGGACCTGCACTGTAACCTAGTGGCTAAAGTCCTTGCCTTGCACATGCTGGGATCCTATATGGGCAGTTCATGTCCACCTGTTCTGCTTCCCATCTAGCTCCCGGGTTGTATGTAGTCTGGGAAAGCAGTAGAGGATGGCCCAAAACCATTGGACCCTGCACCTGCATGGGAGACCTAGAGAAGGCTCCTGGATCCTTGCTTTGGATCAACTCAGCTCCGGCTGGCCACCTGGGAGGGGACCAGCAAATGAAAGATCCTTCTCTCTGTAAAATCTGCCTTTCCAAAAAAAAAAAGTTATTACTATGTACCAAATACTGGTAGACATAATTTTTAAAAATTATATATATGACTGGAATATTACTACTTCAAGTTATCCTTCATAGACTATAGAAATGTATCTAGAACATACATGGTGTAGAAAGATTATGCAATCTGTTACCCAGAAGGAAATGAGTGGTACTCAGACTCAGTGCCTGTTTAAATCATCTGGGTGCTTAATCACAATATCTGCCCTAGAGCCTCACCCCTAGTGATTCTGATGAACTAGGTCCAGAAGTCTGTACTTTTATGAAGCTGCTGCTGGGTACAGGCTACGTAGCATCCTTTAAAGCCCGAGGCCGAAGACTGGGGATGCTCTAGTGTCTGCCCTTCCTAGTATCTAAAGTAGGTGCTACTTGCGTGGATCCCTTGGCGTTCTCTCAAATCCCAAATCCTATTAAATCACCTTTGTACGACTAGTTCTTAGAACAATTGTTCTCTAATAGAAGTTATAATTATAACGGAAGAATTTAGTTTGATGCTAAGTCCTTACAGAGGAACAACCCCATTCTTTGAACAAATTGATTGTCAGTTTATGCAGCTTTTATAGAAAAGAGAGTTGTTTTAATATTTGGTAAAGACCCCTGATGATGACAGGAGACGCCTTCAGAACTTGTAACATCACAGTAAATGTCTTGTTAATACTTGCAGATTACTAAATTATTGTAGCAATATCTGTATATATTCTTCCAAAATCTCCAAGTTTTCTGGGTACAAGGAACCTGCCAGGTTGTTGTGGTAAGTACACACCAGATCTTGATACAGAATAACTCATAGTTGATAAAATCTGACATTGCTTGTGCCTGCAAGGACAAGTAGGGTCACACACTGTACTTTTCCTATGAGTAACTTGTGAGTTCTTAAATGCAGTACACATCTGAGAATAAAGCAATATTAAAAGTGAGAGTTTAAGATACATGCTTCCTATTCCATTTTCCATGTG